ATATAATATATATATATATATATATATACATATATATATTAATTTAAATTTTATATATATATATATATATAATATATATATATATATATATATATATGTGTATATTGGGAGTCAAAAAACGTTATCTATGGAGGAAAAGAAGGGAATGTATGAAAATATAGTAGTACCAACACTCTTATATGGATGTGAAGCTTGGGTGGTAAATGCAGCAGCGAGGAGACGGTTGGAGCAGTGGAGATGTCCTGTCTAAGGGCAATGTGTGGTGTAAATATTATGCAGAAAATTCGGAGTGTGGAAATTAGGAGAAGGTGTGGAGTTAATAAAAGCATTAGTCAGAGGGCAGAAGAGGGGTTGTTGAGGTGGTTTGGTCTTTTTAGAGAGAATGGATCAAAGTAGAATGACATGGAAAGCATATAAATCTATAGGGGAAGGAAAGAGGGGTAGGGGTCGTCCTCGAAAGGGTGGGAAAAAGGGGGTAAAGGAGGTTTTGTGGGTGAGGGGCTTGGACTTCCAGCAAGCGTGCATGAGCGTGTTAGATAGGAGTGAATGGAGACGAATGATACTTGGGACCAGACGATCTGTTGGAGTGTGAGCAGGGTAATATTTAGTGAAGGGATTCAGGGAAACCGGTTATTTTCATATAGTCGGACTTAAGTCCTGGAAATGGGAAGTACAATGCCTGCACTTTAAAGGAGGGGTTTGGGATATTGGCAGTTTGGAGGGATATGTTGTGTATCTCTATACGTATATGCTTCTAAACTGTTGTATTCTGAGCACCTCTGCAAAAGCAGTGATAATGTGTGAGTGTGGTGAAAGCGTTGAATGATGATGAAAGTATTTTCTTTTTGGGGATTTTCTTTCTTTTTTTTTTTTTTTTTTTTGGTCACCCTGCGTCGAATAGGTGAAACTTGAGATTTTGGATTAAATAACAACGCTCTTCTTGCCGAATAAGGCAAGCAAAAATTTGTGCATCCAATAATTTCGCAAAAATCCTTCTGAACCTAACAAAAAGAAAAATATTTCACTGTCTTTGTTTACTAAATTACTGTAAACTTATCTAAAATATTTATCTTATAATAAGTTTAGGTAAGTTTTCTAAGGCTCTTTTGGTACAAAATTATTAATTTTTACATTAACATTATTGAAAAAATATATCTTTGAACGAATAAGAGAACATTTTAGATATGACTTAATTTTAAACGAGTTCTTGCTAAGTGACCAGTTTTATCTATTCGGCAACACACACACTATATATATATATATATATATATATATACAGAGAGAGAGAGAGTCATGAAGTCAGGAAAAAGTTATTTTAAATCATTTACCAAACTGCGGCAGGCCAGGACCCGACCCTACGAAGCTTGTGCCGCCTCCAGAGACAACACAATGTACGCATCACCTCACCACTAGGCCAGCGAGCCTACAAGAACCAAGCACACAGCACGGAGCTATGTGTTTGCCTTGGTCCGAGGACACTCGTGGCAGTGATATGTCAAGGATTAATTTCGGCCTCATCCTGTCTGAATACCCGCCTCAACAAGCAGTCTATATAGCAATGAAATCACGAAACAAGTAATTTGAAATAATTTACCAAACCTCTACAGGCCAGGACTCGACCCTACGAACTTGGTTCTTGTAGGATCGCTGGCCTAGTGGTAAGGTGATGCGTACATTGTGCTGTCTCTGAAGGCGGCACAAGGTACGTAGGGTCAAGTCCTGGCCTGCCGCAGTTTGGTAAATGATTTAAAATCACTTGTTTCGTGATTTCATTGTTATATATATGTCGTGCCGAATATGTAAAACTTGCGATCTTGGCTTAAATAGCAACGTTCATCTTGCCATATAAGACAAGCGAAAGTTTGTGTATTCAATAATTTCGCCAAAATCATTCTGAACCTAACGAAATTAAAAAAAAAAAAAAAAACAATTTTGGTTAGGCTAATAAATTGTTCTTGTATAATAAGGTTAGTAATTTTCTAAATCATTTGGTGCAAAATTATAATTTTTATATTAACAGTTAATGAAAAAAATTTTTAACGTTATAGAAAATTATAGAAGTTAATTTAATGAGTTTTGCTAATGACTTTACTTTTCGGCACGACAATTATATAATTATTTTAATTATATATTATATATAATATATATATTATATATAAGTATAATAGAAAATTTTATTAAAATTTATATATTATATATATATATTTATATTATATTTTATATATATAATATATATATATATTATATATATATATATATATATATATATATATATATATATATATATATATATATTATATATATATATATATATATATATATATATAATTTGATTACCTCTCATTCCCCAGGTACTGCGAGACCTGTATGAATTTTCCTCTTCCCCATTAATACAGTGCTAATAATTCATACCAAATAATGCTGTTTGTGACTGGTTGAGGAAGAGATCATGTGTCTTGGGGTTGGTGAGCTGTGGCAGCGTTATGCCCGAGAATGCCATTGAAGTGCCAGTACCTACTTGCACAAGTGCCGTCACCAGAGATGCCATCACCTGTGTGGAGAGAAGCATGCTTGTGATAGTTATATAGAATGCTCTTCATTCTAGGAACCTAAATCATGGGCACCTCAAAAATAATCGAGAATAAAAAAGGCATCCCCCCATACTGGAAATCATTCAGAATTTCATCTTCCTTCTGTGTAAAATTTTTAATGAGCCATATAGCCAGAAATGTAAACAAAAGAATTTCTGAAATAGGATATCAGTTAAAACACACTAGACAGACTCACAGTGTTCTTTAACTTCTTTATAACATCGGTTAGTATAGGAGTTCTTTAATTTCTTATATAACTTAAGTAGGTATATTCTTCTAGAACTGGCTAAGGTACTCCTTTGCCCCTAGAGCAGCCTGAATTCTTCGTGACATGGATTCAACAATGTGATAGAAACATTCCTTAGAGATTCGTGTCCGTGTTGACATGATAACATCACGCATTTGCTGCAGATTTATCGGCTGAACATTCATGCTGCGAATCTCCCGTTTCATCACATCCCAAACGATTATCCCAAATTCTGACCCTACCATTTGCATGTTACAGCAGAAATCGTGATTCGTCATACCAGCCGACGTCTTTCCAATCCTCAACTGACCAGTTTTGTCGAGTCTGTACCCACTGAAGCCTCAGTCTCCTGTTCTTAGCTAGAGGAGTGGAACTTGGGTTGGTCTGCAGCTATACCAAGTTCTCTTCAAGGTTCGATGTGTTGTGCATTCGCTAATGGTCTTCTTCATACCACTGTTTATTTGAGTTACTGTCACTTTCCTGTCAGCTCAGGACTGCCGCTCACTGGTTTTGTGTTTTTCAGACCATTTTCAGATCAGCAGTTTCTGAGATACTCAAATCACCCCGTCTGTCACCAATTACCTTTCCACTGTCATAGTCACTTAGATCACATTTCTTCCCCATTCTGATGTTTGATGTGATATAGCACATCACCTGTGGTTACTAACTAAAAACACACCGAACCAAAGCATCCAAAATGGTAAATCCTGCTTCCTCTTTGCAAACACTCAGGGTATGAAATCAATAAAAACTATAAAGTCAGTTACAAACAAGGTTTGTATTAAATATGTACCATTGAGGAAACCCAGAAGATCAGATATAAAGAGAGCGTGGATGATGATACAAAAGAAGAAAACGGGTTACCGAATTGCTTAAAAACATAAATATGTGGCAGCGAAGGAAAGACGGTCTTAGCCGAGAGATCACTGACTTAGAACAAAAATTCAGGATGTCGTATCAAACAGAAGAAGCATACAGGAAACAAGAGGCCATCCAGGATCTTATAAGAAACCCAAAACATTTCTATACGCAAAATCAAATCTAAGAACTACTTGTAAATTTGGACACTTAATGAGAGGAGACTCGTATACTGAAAATGAACAATAAATGAGTGAAATTCTAAAGGAATAGTATGATTCCGCGTTCAGCAGCCCACTTTTTTTTTTTTTTTTTTTTTCGCCGGTATTCTCCCGGCCCGGGTCTTTTCCAAGTAGTGGTGACCCGGCCTTGGCCCCCACTATATAACAGGAGGGTAGAGTATGCAGAAACTTCTTTCATACCATCGGAGGGCCGTGCTAATCACATTAGTATTAATTCCATAGAATTCGAAAGAGAAATTGAAAACATGCTCACTCAGCACCTGGACCAGATTCATGAAATTCCTTATTTATAAAAAAAATGCAAAGTGCCACTAGCACGAGCACTCGGTATTCTTTAAAGAAAGAGCGTAGATCTAGGTGAAGTACCAGAGACCTTAAGAGTGTAGATATAGCTCCTTTGCATAAGAGTGGTAGTAAAGCACTAGCTAAAATTACAGACCAGTAGTCCTAAATTCACTCATCACAAAAATCTTCGAAAGAGTGATGAGATGTCAGAGTATCAACATAATCCAAATTAGCAAGGTTTACAGCATGAATGTTAGGTTACCTTGCTCACACTCCTTCAGCATGTCAAATCATTAAAACTACTCATCTATTTAATATATTGATTAAGTATTTAATATAAATTTAGAGATCAACGCTAAATTGCAACACCCTAAAATTATCGTTGACTTTCATCTAAACGTTCTAAAAAAAACTCACTACACTACCACACACTTAGGAAACTTTGGTCTACATTTCAATCAGTCCCAGATAATTATCAGGATAAAGAAACAACGTCTAAAATGTGATCCAAGGAATTGGAATTAATCTCACCTTCGTTAGATTAAGCAAGGTTACCTTTCATTCCTTTTTCGCTGTATAACCGTGAATATACGCAATTAATAGTTATAATGTTTCGTTGAGGCTTCATCTGTTCAAAAACGAATATTCATGGATACAAAACAGAAACTTGTAAGGAATGAATAAGCGAAAGTACCTTCGAGACAAGAATGAATTAAATTTGAGATGAAATTTGCATGGATAACGTCCATTACGCAAAATTTTTTAGTACTAACCTGGGTTCGTAGAGGCAGGCTTAGGTGTCATCCTGGAGTAATGTTGAACGAGATGCCTTCAGCTTGTGTCACCTGGAAATTGTTAGTAACGGGAGTGTCCCTCAGGGCTTGGTGTCATCCTGGAGTATGTTGAGACGGAGTGTCCCTCATGCTTGGTGTCATCCTGGAGTATGTTGAGACGGGAGTGTCCCTCAGGCTTGGTGTCATCCTGGAGTATGTTGAGACGGGAGTGTCCCTCAGGCTTGGTGTCATCCTGGAGTATGTTGAGACGGGAGTGTCCCTCATGCTTGGTGTCATCCTGGAATATGTTGAGACGGGAGTGTCCCTCAGGCTTGGTGTCATCCTGGAGTATGTTGAGACGGGAGTGTCCCTCAGGCTTGGTGTCATCCTGGAATATGTTGAAACGGGAGTGTCCCTCAGGTGAGTGTTGTGGGGTGTCCACACACTCAGCCTCAACTTCTCCTTTTTTTCCAATCTTCTTTGTTTCATCTGAGGAGTAATTGTTACTTTGTATGTCACTCGCTGATGTATTTTTTACTTGTAGATTGTGGTGAATGTCGCGCAGCTTTTTTTATTTCAATCATATTGTTGATGTTATAAGCTTCTCTATTTTGTTAATATAATTTTAGCTAACTAATGCAAGGAAAAAAAAAGTTTTCCAAAGCTAGAAATCCGAACCTTGACTATTCAGAGTGTAGTCGCAAATGTAAGTCTATAATTTATACCCAGAAATTTATGGAAACAAAAGATCTCTAAGAAGTGCTATTATTAATGTGGTTCTAGAAATTCCTTGAGTATACGGAATACTTGCAGAATTTCTTGATTATTGTGTGATAGCTGTATAACTGAGAACTTGCTTTCGAGCTGCTCTCGTGAGTTTTTATTAGAACTGTAATTTAAGGTTCTCGTGCACTGAGAAATAACTTTAGGACTGCTGTTGGAGGGTTAGATTAATTTGAAAATACTCGACTTAATGGCGAATCGCAGTTAGTAAATAAAACTTTGTTTAGCAAACTGTTATTTTCATGCCATCACCCTTAAAACTTGTTCAGAACTTCCTTACGACGAAACTGTAAGAATGTTATGAGAAAATCCATTGCATTAACACTGATATTACAGTATGATTGCTTTAGAGAATATACGTCGTTGCTTAACTAATAGTAGGTACTACTGTGGTCGTGATGACTCCTGGATACTGAGGCTTCCTCAGAGGAGTAGAAATGTGTTTTACTGAAGTTGTCGGAGGCAGCGTCAAGACTCACTCAGGATGGCTGATGACGTGTTGCTGCATATAGTAACCAACCCAGAAACGAAGTTCATTATGACGTGACTCCTAAAGTTCATTCAACCTCTTTTGTTATACCATGAACAACAAACATCTAATTTGTGATTTCTGGTAGTGATTTCTTTGTCACTTCTGCGCTTACGAAAAATATTATTAATAGCATTACTAGTAGTAGTGGTAACTATAGTATTAGTTGTAGTAGTACTAGTAGTAGTAGCAGTAGTGGTAGCGGTTCTTTTATTATTATTGATATAATTGATATTATTGCTATTATTATTAGCCCTTCACGCAAATGTTTGAGTGTGCAGGTGCCCTATGATCATTATGTGAATGAAGCTGATAACTTTCTAAAGCCTCGTCTGCTTGGCTTTAAGCATTCTAAAAGGACACAGATGCAACTAATGTGACATTTTATTATGGCAACTTTTCTCTTCCCAGGAGCTTTATAAAGGGGAGACGAAAGTTTCCACACAAAAATGTCACATTAGTTGCATTTTTCCTTTTTACTTAACATATTGCCCGAAATTCTACCAAATATTAATAAAAACATTCAAAAAATCTTTATTCTTTTTCAAAAGCAAGTGTTGATTTTTACTGAATTTTGCAAATGAAAATTTTTCAAATTATGGGAAAAAATTTTTTTTCTTTTTTGTCCCGCTTAATCATGCTATAAAATTTTAAGGACAGATACATATTACGTAAAATAGTACTCAGAAGTTTAGTTTTTTGTAGAGCTGAGTGACAGTTTACATTAAACAACCAAATAAAGGTTTCCCAAAGTAAAAACCAGGAAAATCCCTCTTCTGATCGCTTAAACTTTCGGGGAAAATATGTTTTATTTTGGCATTTTTTTGAGCTGGTAATTTTTAAATTTGTTTTCTTTAAAAAAAAAGCAAAAAACAAACTAGAAAATCTACTTTAATCTGCATCAAACTCTAAATATTGGTATTTAACAAATTTTGTTAATATGATTTTGCTGCATGGGATTTTTTGTCAATTTACTAAAAAAACTGTGAAAATTTAGGCTTTTTAAAAAATTATTTTTAAGCATTACAGAAAATTTTTGATTAAAATACAATGAGAAAAGGAAAGGGGAAATTTTGAAAATCACTACATTTGGGATTTTTTAATAAGTTTTATATATTTTTTTAAATAGGTAAACGCGAAGGTTTCATTAAGATGGGGAACTTTTTTTTTTTTTTTTTCTGTACTTTTTTTTTTTTAAATTTAGAAAACTAATCCGATCGACTTTTAACCTTTCATACGGGTTTTTCTGTTTTGGGGAAAAAGGGTTTTTACAAATTTTTGATCTGTACAGGGGCCAGTGACCCAAAATTATATGCACATCCCGAGTTTCCGTTTTGCTTAAAAATTTAGAAAAATCAAAAACAAATTTTTTCTTTTTCGACACGACTGTGTGCCCAAAACTTAAAACTTGCAAATTTTTTCTTATTTAGCAAAGCTCTTTTGCCCAATAAGCAAGGGAAAAATTTTAATTGCAATAATTCCCAAAAATCATTCTGAAAATAACGAAAAAATATATTTCATTTGTTTATTTATAATTAAATTTTTTTAACCTATATAAAATTAATTGTTAGATTAAATTAAATGAAATTTCCTTGTTAAATAAATTTATTTAAGTTTTCCAAGGTTCTTCTGGTACAAAATAATTAATTTTTACATTAACGTAAATGAAAAATATATCTTTTAACATATAAGAGAAAATTTTAGAAAGGAGGCTAGTACACCAAAACGCGGAGTAGAATAAAATTTGCTCTGAGGCAACCACACCATCGCATGAGACTGCGAAAGCCACTGACAAGTGCGACCATGGTGTGATACCACACAAAATACTTGATAAAGGAATAACAGGAAAAGTTGGTAGATGGATCTGCAATTCCCTATCAAATAGAACACAAAAAGTAGTAGTAAACAAGAGTAAAGTCTGAGGCGCCTACAGTGAAAAACTCTATTCCACAAGGAACAATACTCGCTCCCATCCTGTTCCTCATCCTCATGTCTGACATAGAGATTGAAGCCATAGCTCCGTGTCTTCTTTGCGGATGACACCCGAATTGCCATGACAGTAACCCCCCATCGAAGACTCCGCAAGACTCCAAGCGGACATCAACCAAATCTTTAAATGGGCCGCAGAAAACAATATGAAGTTCATTGAAGAGAATTTTCAACTACTCAGATATGGAAAACTTGAGGAAATTAAAACCTTATCAGGGTATAAAAATTCTAGCCACACAATAGAGCGGAAAAGTAATGTGAAGGACCTGGGACCGATAATGTCAGAGAATCTCACCTTCAAAGACCACAACAATGTATCTACCTCATCTGCTAGAAAAATGATAGGATGAATAATGAGAACCTTCAATTTTAGGGATGCAAAGCTCATGATGATTCTCTTCAAATCGGTTGTTTCTCTAGGCTGAAGTACTGCTGTACACTAACTTCGCTCTCCAGGAGAAATTGCTGACCTGGAGAATGTACAGAGAACTTTCACTTAAATTACTGGGAATGATTGAAGTCCTTTGATCTGTATTCCCTGGGACCCAGGCGAGAAAGATACATGATAACATACGCTTGGAAAATCCTAGAGGGATTAATACCAAACCTACACACGAAAAGCACTCCCTGCAAAAGCAGGTGCGCTACTAGAACATTAAGAGACAACACAATAAGTGTCAGGGGTCCAAGACTGTTTGCCTCCCAGCCTACATAAGGGGGATTACCAATAGACCCCTGGCTGTCTTCAAGAAGGCACTGGACAGATACCTAAAATCAATACCCGATCAGCCGGGCTGTGGTTCGTATGTTTACGTGAGGCCAGCAGTAACAGCCTGTTTGATCAGACCCTGATCCACCTCGAGGCCTGGTCTCAGACCGGGCCGCGGGAGCGTTGACGCTCGAAGCCCTTTCCAGGTATTCTCTAGGTATTGCTGACGTGGAGAGGTCATACTATGCAACATAATATTGTTCAACTCTCACACTGCAACATAGGATGATATAAATATTGATAATTTTTTATATTCCCTTCAAAGTGCCTTAATGCTGGATAATGCCTCTTAATCCAAGGAATTGGAGTACTTCTCTCCTTGTTTAGATCGAGACTACGTACGTCTCATTAGCCACGAAAAATAATTATATTAATAATAATGGTAATTGGTTATTGCAGAATTACATATGTTTTCCACGAGAACCAAAAAAACAATATTAAAAGAGATGAATTTATCTGTTAACTTTTTTTAATGCATTGCATGGTATACTGTCTTCAGTTTTGATTAAGAATAAATTAGTATAGAAGTTATTATAAAAAAAAGTGAAATAAACACTAAAACAGTTAGTAAGAAAAGAGAGAGGAGCAGTTGCATGATGTTCTGCGGGAGAGATCAAAATAAGTCAGAAACAATAGTAAAAAAACAACGTGTTTTAGAGTACGATTTTGATCACTTTAGGTGTTCAACAAGTCAAGGATTGATTACGTTCTAAACAGGAAGAGAAGGTGTCAAAGCGTGTCCAGAAACGTCTCTTCCTGTAGAGTGGTGGTGCCTCCAGAATTATATACTGCTGAAAAACACACTGGTGTTTGGTTTTCATGTTCTAGCGGTTTATATGAGTTCTTCCATAAAATTGTATACCTTGCTCACACCCCACATTCATTATTTCCGGGTATTATTACATTCAGGGGAAGAGTGATAAACCTATATAGGTCATACAGCGTTTAGGATAATGGGAATCGACAAGATTCGATCCAAGGAGGAGGTCATTTTCATTTCCTTGCATCAAGAGCCGCTCAACTTGGTCAAGGAATCTCCCTTGAGGAGTTGCACTTCACAACCAAGCTATTATAATCTAACGGCTTTCAGGGTTCCTTTCATCAGGGACTAGAGTATATAGGCTGCCTAAGCAGTACGTCCGTTTCGCAATTACCAGACAGAGGATTAAGCCTCCACCTCTGACTAACACACAAGGCTTTGCCAGGTGACATTAGGGAAAAGACCTGGGTGGGACCATACCCTAAAACCGCTTCGATCTCGAACATACGGCTTTAGAGCTTCGTATAACTTTAATTTTATTTTGTTGTCATCCTGACTTGTTCTCATCAGTGAAAATACTCTTCCTTCCAGGACTAAATATTGCCTGTATTCCCTAATGCCGGTCTACCTGTTGGGACCGAGCACACTAACACAGCTATTGTCAATGGTTCTTTTTATTCCCTCTATTCTAAGTTAAAAGATTACTGAGGCCAACAATTTGATCTGTAACCAAATTCACACTTGTATACCTTTTTATATACTTTGAAAAATACTTAAAAGTAGTTTTTTACAGATTTGGAGGAGGTTGTCAATTTTTAAATTCATCTTTTTCTCTGCTTTTATTCATCATTCTCGCTTACATTACGTGAGATACTATGAGTCAACAATATACTGACTTCATGGTATGACGAGACAGGGGACTATTTTTCCGCTGTCACTAATTAATAAAACAAGAATAAAAGTTGGTACATTTTATTTTCAAAATCCAGGAAGTTCTTACTTAGAAACATTGTGTTGATACCCACAAGAATAGTCTTTGAAAACTATTGAATGATGGCGGAATAGTTTTTCAAAGTTTTGTAGTTTCTGCCCAGCAGTTAAGACGGTTTCCCGTGATCTCTTCCAGCGAGCGTCCGCGAGTCTCTGGAAGACAGACAGCGCTGACAAAAGTTATTACTGCACACACACCACTGAAGACCCAGAAAGTCCCGTGTTGGCCAAGTGCTTCTATTGTCATGGGATAAGTATAAGATGCAATAAATGTCCCAGTCATTAATACCAAGACAAATATCGAATTTCCAACAGATCGACATGATGTAGGCAGAAGTTCTCCACACAATATTGAAAAGGCAGGCTGGCCAACGCCAATAAAGAAGATAAATATCATTGTTGCTTGTAATGGGTATTCCACCATGCCACTGGTAATCCCTGTCCCATGTATGGTAGAAGTACTTCAATAAATAGCCATACACAGAGAACACAAACAATATGAAATTAAGATCAATGGTTTGCGTCCTAGACGATCAACTACACAAAGAGGGAACTAAATTTCCCAAAAAACCCTAAAATGCAAAATATTATAGCACTGATGAATGGATCCAAGTTTGCCTCAGCTGCCTGGAAAATAGGCACAAAAATATGTCAGTAGAGGTAACAACCAGTCATAGACAACAAGAAATTTAAAAAGGTCATTAATAAGAATATATTATAGTTTCTGTCTCAAACAGCAACCGCGCTTGTTGATAACAGTTATTTGTCTTCCTACTTACATTATTAATTTGTTGTGTGATATCCAGTAATTCTGGTTCGCAGTCATAATGTTTCCCTCTGAAAAAAACAAGAGCTTTCTGAGCTTCGCTAAGACGACCTTGAGTGACGAGCCAACGAGGAGAGTTAGGCAGGAAAAAGAGACAAAAGAAAGGAACTGCTGACACTCCGCTAAAAACGAAGCCCATCTGTCTCCAGTCGAGCTTAGAAACTCCTAGAGCAGACACTACTAAAAAGCCCAATAGCCTAGCTAAGTAATTGGCTCCAGATAGAATTCCACGTATATTCTTATGAGAGATTTCAATGGTATATAGCAAAGAAGCAATAGCCATGATGCCCATGGTGATGCCCAGAAATGTGCGACTAGTTAATAGAAGCCAGACGGTTGGAGAAAGAGCGAGGATGAGCCATGAAACCACAGCGATGGGTAGGATCACCAGTAACGTCATTCGCTGGCCAAGCTTCACTAGTAGTGGTCCACTCACACAGCTCCCTATAGCTGATCCCAAGTATCCCAGGCTTCCTGCAATGAGTAGTTATAGCGATATTTTTTCCATTTCTACAGATCATACCTGGCAAGACAAAAATAATATCATTAATTAGAAAATATCAACATCAGTTTGAGAGAATAAAAATTCAAGCCAATGTTACCTTACGCCAACCCCTTTTCCCATTTCTGCTGAGAGTTGTAGATAAGGAATTGTCAAGAGCCTTGTGAATTTTTCACGCACATGCACTCACCCCCAAACACACAAAAACACACACACACACACACACAACACAACACACACACACACACACACACACACACACACACACACACACACGGGGCCAGGAGCTAAGACTCGACCCCTGCAACCACAAATAGGTGAGTACACACACACACACAATTCTTAAGGAGACAGACAAGCATCATTAAGCTACAGACCAGTGGCACAGAAATGTATAATATGTAAGGTCATGGAGAAGATTATCAGAAGAGTGTTGAAGCACGTGGAAAGGAATGTTCTTTTACACGATAACCAGCACGGTGTCACAAACCTACTGTCACAAACCTACTGTCACAAACCTACTGTCACAAACCTACTGTCACAAACCTACTGTCACAAACCTACTGTCACAAACCTACTGTCACAAACCTACTGGTTTTATGACAAGGTAACCGAAGCAAGATAGGAGAGAGAGAGAGAGAGAGAGAGAGAGAGAGAGAGAGAGAGAGAGAGAGAGAGAGAGAGAGAGAGAGAGAGAGAGAGAAAGTGTGTAGACCGCATTTCCTTGGACTGTAGGAAGGCTTTCAACAGAGCTCCGCACAGGAGATTAGTGCAAAAACTAGAGAAGCAGGTAGGAATAGCAGGAAAGGCACTGTCAAGGATCAGGGATTACCTGATAGGAAGAAAACTAGTAATGGTACGTGAGGAGGTGTCAGAGTGGGTACAGGTGGCGAGTTGGTTCCCTCAGGGGTCAATCCTAGGGACGGTGTTGTTTCTGGAATGTGTGAATAACGTGATGGTAAGTATAGATTCAGAGGTATCCCTGTTTGCAGACGATGTGAAGCTTATACGCAGAATTCAAGCGGACGAAGATCAGGCAGGACTACAAAGGGATCTCGATAACCTGCAAACCCGGCCCTACAAATGGCTCTTGGAGTTTAACCCCGCCAAGTGCAAAGTCATGAAGCTTGGGGAAGGTCAAAGAAGACCTCAGATAAGTACATGCTAAGGGCTGAAAGGCTGCATATGTTACTCAAGCAAAAGGATCTTGGGGTGAGTACCACACCGAGCACATATTCTGAGGCGCACATCAACCAAATATCTGCTGCAGCATATGGGTGCCTGGCAAACCTAAGCAGGAGCGTTTCTACGCCTAAGTAAAGAATCATTCAAAGCATTGTACACCGAATATGTTAGAACCATATTGAAGTATGCAGCACCAGTACGGAATCCACACCTGGTCAAGCACATCAAGAAACTGGAGAACGTGCAAAAGTTTGCAACAAGACTAGTCCCGGAGCTAAGTGGAACGTCATACGGGGAGAGGTTAAAGGAAATCAACCTGACGAAACTGGGAAACATAAGGGACAAGGATCACATGATAAAGAGGTATAAAATATTGAGAGGAATTGGTAAGGTGGACAGGGACAGATTGTTTCAGAGATGGGATACAGCAACAAGGAGTCACAACTGGAAGTTGAAAACTCAGATGAGTCACATGGACGTTAGGAAGAGTTTCTTCAGTCATAAGGTTGTCAGGAAGTGGAGCAATCTAGAGAGCAGCGTAGTGGAGGCACGCTCCATACATAGCTTTAAAAAGAGGTACCTGGAATATACCTGGAGAGGGTTTCGGGGATCAACGCTCCCGCGGTTCGGTCTGAGACCAGGCCTCGTGGTGGACCAGGGTCTATTCAACCAGGCTGTTACTGCTGGCGCCACGAAAACTGACGTACGAACCACAGCCCGGCTGGTCAGGTACTGACTTTAGGTGCCTGTCCAGTGCCTTCTTGAAGACAGCCAGGGGTCTATTGGTAATCCCCCCTTATGTATGCCGGGAGGCAGTTGAATAGTCTTGGGTCCCTGACACTTACTGTGTTGTCTCTCATTGTACTCGTGGCGCTCCTTCTTTTCAGTGAGGGAATGTTGAATCTCCTGCCAAGACATTTGCTTTCATAGGGAGTGATTTTTCGTGTGCAAGTTTGGTACTAGTCTCTCTAGGATTTTCCAAGTGTATATTATCATCGTATCTTTCTCGCCTGCATTCCACGGAATACAAATTAAGGGACTTCAACTGTTCCCAGTAATTTAGGTGCTTTATCGGAATTATGTGTGCCATGAAAGTTCTTTGTACACTCTGCAGATCAGCAATTTCGCCTGCCTTCAAGGGGGCAGTTAGTGTACAGCAGTACTGCAGCCTAGAGAGAAGGGATTTGAAGAGAATCATCATGGGCTTGGCGTCCCTAGTTTTGAAGGTTCTCATTATCATTCTCCTAGTAGTTGCGGTAGATACATTGCTGTAGTCTTTGAAGGCGAAATCCTCTGACATTATCACTTCCAGGTCCTTCACATTACTTTTTCACTCTATTGTAAGGTTAGAATTTGTTGTATACCCTGATACAATTTTAATTTCCTCACATTTTCCATATCTGAGTAGTTAAAATTTCTCTTCATTGAACTTCATATTGTTTTGAGTGGCCCATTTGAAGATTTGGTTGATGTCCGCTTGGAGTCTTGCGGTGTCTTCGATGGAGGACACTGTCATGGCAATTCGGGTGTCATTCGCAAAGGAAGACACGGAGCTATGGCTTACATCTCTGTCTATGTCAGATATGAGGATGAGGAATAGGATGGGAGCGACTACTGTGCCTTGTGGAACAGAGCTTTTCACTGTAGCTGCCTCGGACTTTACTCTGTTTACTATTACTCTTTATGTTCCATTTGTCAGGAAGTTATAGATCCATCTATCAACTTTTCCTGTTATTCCTTCATCACACATTTTGTGCACTATAACATGTATACTACATCTGCATTTTGTTTATCCTACATAGCATCCAGGACCTTGTCATAGTGGTCCAGTAGCTGGGACAGTCAGGAGCGACCTGCTCTAAACCAATGTTGCCCTGGGTTGTGTAACTGATGGGTATCTAGGTGGTTGGCTATCTTGCTTCTCAGAACCCTTTCATTGATTTTTTATGACATCGGATGTTAGTGCTATCGGTCTGTAGTTCTTTGCAATTGCTTTACTGCCACCTTTGTAGAGTGGGGCTATGTCTGTTGTCTTTAGTGAGTTTGGGATGACCCCTGTGTCCATGCTCCCTCTCCAAAGAATGCTGAAGTAGTATCTCGTTTCTTGGCTGTCATCTGTGTATGTCCCATTTCGCCTAAGCAGGGGCCCAATACTGGATGTAGTTTTTTCCTTAGATTTGGCATATGAATGTGGCAATGGAATGTGCCTTGAGCAGATCTCGGATCCATGTTGTTTAGGATATCTTCCCAGCTTGCGGTTGACTTGTTCCCATTGTATGTTTTTGTTATTGAAGACACCCTCATGACTGATCACGTTTTGCTGGTCATGAGCCCTGTGCATAACTGTCTGTACCTCTATTATGTTGTGATCTGTTTGATACGGTTATATTATCAGATCGTCGTTGTTAGCGAAGGTGAGGTCCAGCGTATTTTCTAGTCTTGTAGGCTCTAATATTTTCTGGTTTAAGGTGAATTTGGTGCAGAGATTTAATAACTCGTGCATGTGTGAACTTTCATCTGTGCTGCCTCCTGGGGTGAACCCTGTTAAAATATTATTTGTTACACTCCTCCAGTTTAGGTGTCCCAAGTTGAAATCTCCCAGTAGCAAGATGTTTGGGGCAGGAGTTGCGAGATTTTCGATATAGTGGCCAATTTTCAAAAGCTGCTCCTGGAATTGCTGGGAAGTTGCATTTGGAGGCTTGTATACAACCACAATGACAAGGTTTTGATTCTCAGTCTTTACACCCAAAACGTCAACTACATCATTTGAGGTGTTTAGTAGTTCTGAGCAAATGAATGACTCTGTGAAGTACAAGCCAACCCCTCCTTGTTGTCTGTTTAGTCCGTCGCATCTGAATAGGTTATAACGTGGGATCCCTATTTCGTTGTCAATATGATCCCTTATAAGGGTCTATGTGAAAGCTGCAAACACTGTATTTGATTCCATGAGCAGTTGCCATTTGACGTATAGAAAGTTTTGTTTTGACGGCTTTAGACCCTGATGTTGCAAAGACAAATGTCTATCTATGAATTTAGGGAGGGGTTATTGTTCTGGCTTAATATTGATGTTCTGGAGTGAAAGGCCAATGGCTGTAGCCTCGCTTACGGGAAGTGTTCCCATTTGTGTAAGATTTAGCTATGAACATTTCTTGCAGTCCTTTCATCCTTCGCACTAAAAATTTTTCTTGTAGACGCTTATGTCCCTTATGTTTCAACAATGTCTGGCTGGTCTTGGGTTTTCTGTCCCTATTATGATAATGTACTGGAGAGCATGACTTGTGCACTTTAACGTTTCATTTGTGAATGAGTTATCACATTTCGGGGCTAAAATAAGTTACGGAAGGAATTGGCCCCTCTTTGTTCATGTGGCTGTCTGGCATTGTTTTGGGACGGTCAAATGCATTCTCACTTGTTTTACAAGATATACCATTTCGTAGATAAGTTCAGGATAGGGAATTGCTCAATTTTTTGTGGTGCGGCATTTTTTACGGTCAAAGTGATATCTCACTTGTTTTACCAGAAAATATCCTGTCGAATCCTCATGCTAGTTTGTATGATTTTTTTGTGGTTTTCTGCATTTCGCTGCATGGTTCACTTTTTTTATTTCCCCTCTACTTAGGTTCATGTTGTTTGTATGATATGGCTCAGATGGTAAGGTGATATGTACGTTGTGTGGCCTCTTGAGGCAGCACAACGTATCGTGGGGTCGAATCCTGGCCTGCCGTAGTTTCGTAAATGATTCAAAACCACTTGTTTCGTGGTTTCATTGCTATATAGACTGCTTGTGGAGGCGGGTATTCAAACAGGAGGAGGCTGAAATTAATCCTTGAGCATAAATCTGCCACTAGTGTCCTCGCAACATGAAACAAGCCTAGTTCGCTAGGCTCGTGTATGTAGGATCGATGGCTCAGATGGTCAGGTGACATGCACGTTGTGTGCCCTTTTGAGGCGGGACAACGTGTCGTGGGGTCGAATCCTGGCCTGCCGCAGTTTGGTAAATAATATATACATATACTGTGTTATATATATATATATATATATATTATATATATATATATATATATATATATATATATATATATATATAATCTTTCCTCCTGGTACACTTGAATAGTTCTTCAAGGTGGGCTGGTTAGATAGGCCTACTATAAAAGTAGTTTGATAAGGGCGTCTAAAAATCCAGGCAGCTCATGAATCCGGTCAGAGGATACTTTATTTTTCCATGAATCCGGTTGGGTGTTGGCTGACCTGCGTGGTAGGATCCTGGCGACTGCTGGCAACTGTTCAGGCCTATTAGGCCTATCACTTCCGTCATAATTTTCACCATAGCATTTATTATGGTATCTTATCCATACACTACGGTACCACTGTGATATGCACTACGGTGCCACTGTGATATACACTACGGTACCACTGTGATATGCACTACGGTACCACTGTGATATACACTACGGTACCAATGTGATATACACTACGGTACCACTGTGATATGCACTACGATACCACTGTGATATACACTACGGTACCACTGTGATATACACTATGGTACCACTGTGATATACACTACGGTACCACTGTGATATACACTACGGTACCACTGTGATATACACTACGGTACCACTGTGATATACACTACGGTACCACTGTGATATACACTACGGTACCACTGTGATATACACTACGGTACCACTGTGATATGCACTACGATACCACTGTGATATGCACTACGGTGCCACTGTGATATACACTACGGTACCACTGTGATATACACTACAGTACCACTGTGATATACACTACGGTACCACTGTGATATACACTACGGTACCACTGTGATATACACTACGGTACCACTGTGATATACACTACGGTACCACTGTGATATACACTACGGTACCACTGTGATATACACTACGGTACCACTGTGATATACACTACGGTACACTGTGATATACACTACGGTACCACTGTGATTACACTACGGTACCACTGTGATATTACACTACGGTACCACTGTGATATACACTACGGTACCACTGTGATATATACTACGGTGCCACTGTGATATACACTACGGTACCACTGTGATATACACTACGGTACCACTGTGATATACACTACGGTACCACTGTGATATATACTACGGTGCCACTGTGATATACACTACGGTACCACTGTGATATACACTACGGTACCACTGTGATATACACTACGGTACCACTGTGATATACACTACGGTACCACTGTGATATACACTACGGTACCACTGTGATATATACTACGGTGCCACTGTGATATACACTACGGTACCACTGTGATATACACTACGGTACCACTGTGATATACACTACGGTACCACTATGTATAACACTCAGGAAAACTTTCTTTTCTCTCACAAATTTGCTCTAAGCTTTTTTATTTTCGCCCAGGGCAGGTTAGGCCTATAGTTGCCCTCAGGGAGTCCGGCTCTGCTATCTTATACCACACTTTCTATCCTTTTTTTTTTTTGGCTCGGTGTGCACTATTATTTTCCAGATTAGTTGCAAGTGCTGGAGGGAGGTACTTTATAAGTTCACTGGTACACTTTAAAGTTTGTAGTACGTAAAAGAAGCCGTGATAATCCACGAAAACGACGGAGCACGGCGGAGCATGGCGAAGCACGGCGGAGCACGGCGGAGCACAGCGGAGCACGGCGGAGCACAGCGGAGCACGGCGGAGCACGGCGGAGCACAGCGGAGCACGGCGAAGCACGGCGGAGCACAGCGGAGCACGCGGAGGACGGCGAAGCACGGAAAGGTGTACCCTGGGGTACTCTGGGGTACGATAAAGCTCCTGGAGCAGGAAGAGAGTAGACTCAGTAGCACTCAGTGAAGAAGCGGGGCCAGGAGCTGTGACTTGACCCCTTCAACCACAAATAAGCTGTTAAAAGTAGGTGAGTACACACGCGCGCGCACACATACACAGGAGCTGTGAATCGACCCCCGCAACCACAACTAGGTGAGTGCACACACACACACACACACACACACACACACACATGTAGTGGAGGCAGGATCCATACATAGCTTTAAGCAGAGGTATGATAAAGCTCAAGGTTCAGGGAGTGTGACCTAGTAGCGACCAGTGAAGAGGCGGGGCCAGGAGCTTGGACTCGACCTCTGCAACCTCAACTAGGTGAGTACAACTATGTGAGTACACACACACACACACACACACACACACACACACACACACACACGACACACACACATGATGTTCCATAGATGGGACACAGCAACAAGGGGACACAGTTGGAAGTTGAAGACACTGATGAATCACAAAGATGTTAGGAAGTATTTCTTCAGCCACAGAGTAGTCAGGAAGTGGAAATAGTTTGGGAAGCGATGTAGTGGAGGCAGGATCCATACGTAGCTTTAAGCAGAGGTATGATAAAGCTCACGGTTCAGGGAGAGTGACCCAGTAGCGACCAGTGAAGAGGCGGGGCCAGGAGCTAGGACTCGACCCCTGCAACCTCAACTAGGTGAGTACAACTAGGCGAGTACAACAGACACACACACACACACACACATACACACACATACACACACAATACACACACAACAACATACAACACATATAAATACTCCAATAATAAAACTTTGTTATATTAATATATATATAATAATTAAGTTTATCTATATTTTTTTCTTATACTTTAAAGATATATTTTTTCATTAATATATAATTGTAATATAAAATTTAATTTTGCACCAATAAAATTAAATACTTCTAACTTTATTTCTATACGAAAGATAATTTTTATTTTAGTAAAAATAATATATTTTAATTAATTTAAAAACTTCTAACTTATATACAAACAAAACTACCAACTAAATATATTTTTTTTACAATTAGTTACACAATAATGAATTTTGGGCGAAATTTAAATTTTTGCATACACAGATTTTCACTTGTCCTATATGGCAAGATGAGCGTTGCTATTTAAGCCAAGATCGCAAGTTCTGCCTATTCGGCACGACATATATATATTATATATATATATATATTATATATATATATATTATATATATATATATATATATATATATATATATATGTCGTGCCGAATAGGTAAAACTGGTCAATTAGCAAGAACTCATTTAAAATTAAATCCTTTCTAAAATTTTCGCTTATACGTTTAAAGATATACTTTTTTTCATTTATGTTAATGTAAAAATTAATAATTTTGTACCAAAAGAACCTTAGAAAACTTACCTAACCTTATTATAACAAGCGCTAATTAATTTAGCCTAATCCAATTAAATATATTTTACATAAGTTTACAATAATTTAATAATAAACAAACACAATGAAATATATTTTTTTTTCATTAGGTTCAGAATGATTTTTGCGAAATTATTGCATACACAAATTTTCGCTTGCGTTATTCGGCAAGAAGAGCGTTGCTATTTAAACAAAAATAGCAAGTTTTACCTATTATTCGAATGATCGAAACTTTTGTGTTTTTCCTGGAAAGTAAGGTTTTTTTTTTGCGAAAAAAAAAACAGTGAAAATATTTTTTTGCCTTAACTCTTCTAATGAAAGACTCATTTTCCTAACAATTGCTGCTACCCTCCTCTTCCTTGGATCAAATTTGATTACCTCTCATTCCCCAGGTACTGCGAGACCTGTATGAATTTTCCTCTTCCCCATTAATATAATGTTAATAATTCATACCAAATAATGCTGTTTGTGACTGGTTGAGGAAGAGATCATGTGTCTTGGGGTTGGTGAGCTGTGGCAGCGTTATGCCCGAGAATGCCATTGAAGTGCCGCAACCTACTTGTACAAGTGCCATCACCAGAGATGCCATCACCTGTGTGACGAGAAACAAGCTTGTGATAGTTATTTAGAAGCGCTATTCATTCTAGGAACCTAAATCATGGACACCTAAAAAATTATGGAGATTAAAGAGGCATCTCCCAGACTCGAAATCATTGGGAATTTCAGCTTTGTTCCATGGTAAAACTATATTGAACCATATACTAAAGAAATGTGCAGAAATTTAAACATTATCTCAGTTAAGCACACAAGACAGAATAACACTGTTCCAGTACTTTTAGCTTTATAACCGTATCTAATTTTATTAGGTACACCCTTCTAGTACCTGCTAGATTACACTTTTGGTCCTCGAGCAAGATGAATTCTTCGTGGCATAGATTCAACAAGGTCTGGAATCAATGCTTAGAGATTATGGTCCATGTTGACAGGATAGCATCACGCAGTTGTTGAAGATTTGTCGGCTGAACATTCATGCTGCAAATCTCCTGTTCCGTCACATCCCGAAGAATTACGCTAAATTCTGATCCTACCATTTGCATGTCACAGCGGAAATCACGATTCTTCAGACCAGGCGATGTTTTTCCAATCCTCAGCTGTTTAGTTTTGGTAACCCTATGCCCACTGTAGCCTCAGTTTCCTGTTCTTAGCTGAGAGGAGTGGAACCCAGGGTGGTCTCCTGCTGTATCCCATGCATTTCAAGCTTCGATGAGTTGTGCGTTCACAGATGATCTGCATACCACTGTTGTAGTGAGTGTTTTTTGAGTTGTATTAATGTTGGTAGAATTATCGACAATATGTTAGGTAAAAGAACACAAGTACAACTAATGTGGCATTTTATTGTGGCAACGTTTCGCTCTTTTTTGAGTTACTATCGCCTTCCTGTCAGCTGGAACCAGTGTGTCCATTCTCCTGACCTCTCTTATTATCAAGGCCTTTTCACCCACAGAACTGCCTCTCATTGGATGTGTTTTGTTTTTCAGACCATTATCAGATCAGCAGTTTCTGAGATAGTCAAACTACCCTGTCTGCACCAATTAGCTTTCCACTTTCACAGTCACTTACATCACAGTTCTTCCCCATTCTGATGTTTCATCTGAGTAACAATTGAACCTCTTGGCCATGTCTGCATACTTTTAGGCAGTGAGGCGCTGTGACGTAATTGTCTGATTAAATATCTACATTAACGATCAAGTGTACATGCGTATCTAATAAAGTGGCCACTGAGTGTATATGTGTGTACATGGTGTTCCATAAAATATTAAACAGTAAGTATGCACAAACAAAATTCTTAAGTCTATATTAATTACATCCCCTTCTATTCTGAATATTTCACAAGGCCAGTGAAGACCTGAGGGCAATATTTGTCTTAATGTCTCTTTTGTCTGCTTTAATATAATAATCATGATAATAATAATAATAACAATAATGATAATAATAATAGTAATAAAAATTGCATGATTTCTGATAGCTGCGTGATCCGAGAAATGTAGCACCACGTTGCATCACCCTAGTCCGATGTTCCTCAATGGACGCAACTGGAATAGTACAGAGTGCAGCAAATATTTGTAATGTAGTTAATAATAGCATTGAACATTTGATATGAACCAGAAGAGGCCTTCACAAGTTGCCACATGGAAACTAATGTCCAAATTTCTTCTCTAAAAATGTTAAATTAGCATATGCTCAGTTCAAATCTAAGCCTTACAAGGAAAACAAATAGACCAATATTAGAAAATACACAAGCACACTAAGCGTGAAGACACTGAGAAGTTGCATTATCAAGTTACCTGTGTTGAAGGGTTGGAAATAATCATATGGAAAACAGCATTTCAATTTTCCAAATTTTTTCCATCAGAAATAGTATACTTAGACTTATAGCGGGTGAAATTAATATAACTTTTCTCTAGGTAAAACTGACCATCGTTTATTAAGTACATAAGAAAATAATTTAGATATATTTAATCTTTGGAAACATCAATTATTTTACAACGATGTCTGGACACCCAGATGTTAGAGGCACATAGAAAAACATTAAGTTAGTTTAATCGAGGATAACCAAGTGAAGTGAGTCACTGTGACTTAGTTCTGATTAGAAAAAACGTACTGCATTTATTTTACATAAATTTAATTAATAACACTGGCACATAAAACTTAAGACAACCTAAAGGAAAGAGAAGTTTCCTTTTAGCAGGCATAATCTTGTCATATACTCAAAAATATTGTTATACTATCTCGAAATTAAAAATGACAATATGGAACCTACACACTCCATGATGGCAACTTACTTCTAAGTAGGATACATCAGTATTGAAATTTTGAAACCGATCAAAAACGGCTTTTCAAAAATATCTCATTGGAATCAATTTATATTTGGTCTATATAAAATTGAGCACTTATAATAAGTTGCTCCACGAACCTACAGCAAGTAGACCAAGGTTGTAAACTGAAGCCACTTTGATATGCCATTCTGAAGTTACAAAAGTATGTGTTAGAGGAAGTTAGATGGGATGAGAACACTGTAGCTTACTCTGGGATGGTCATGCCATCACCTTGTGCAGTATTTAAGGTTCATTAGAGTAGTAAATATTTAAAATACTATTATAGCATGAGTTTTCAGTATTCTAAATTTTCTTTTTGTACTTCTGTTCTAAGTAAAATTTTCTTTAATCCACTAAGAAAAACATTTGAGTTTGTTTTTTTAGGAGAGTCCAATTTAAAAAATCCTTAAAGTGGGCAGTTTGTCACTTGCAAAGCCAAAAATTACTATTAAGATTTACCAGCACTTAAGTATTTGAAACTTACAGTGAAAGCCCAGTTTTTATGTAATAAGCCCATTAACACTGAAAGTCTGGAGCCTATCAGATGAGACATTCTCTAGTATTTGTTCTCTATCCAGCGATTCTAAGTCTTTAATAACAAGTTAATTAAAATATCAAGTTTGTACCTAAACAGTCTAGACACATAAGTTGTTGTTGTTCTTATGGAATGAATCACTGTTAATATTTTGAAGCCGATAAAAGGAGGCATTCCTTAGTTATTGACTTGAAATCAGAATCACTATACATTAAGTAAAACTGGCAAATTGATTTTGAGTAATGGAGGCTTGGGCATCCATCGGGCTTTTTTGAGCGTGTTAGATAGGAATGAGGTAGAATCAAGTGACTTTTATACTTTAACGTGCTGTCGGAGTATGACGAAGACAACAGTTATAAAGGGATTCAGGAAAACCGGTTAGCCAGACTTGAAAGGGCAAAGCCTTGACTCTGAAGGACGGGTGGGAATGTTGCGGTTCAGAACGTTACCAGGGCTGTGATGTCGGCACGCTTCTGGACAGTGATTAAAATGAATGATGTGGAAAGGTTTCTTCTTTCTCGGGTTACCATGTCTTAGTGGGAGGCTGGTTATATGTTAATGATGATAGTAATATCAACAATAATAATATTAACATCAATAATAATAATATTAAGATCAATAATAATACCATTAATAATATCAATAATAATAATAATAATAATAATAATAATAATAATAATAATAATATGTAACTAATAATTAGTAAGTCTCTTCAAAGTTTAGAAAAGCTTAACCTGCTCACTAATTCTACAAGTGAAATAATACAAAGATTTTATGTACTTTTTTTGTACACGTACAAGAGTCTGCTTGAGAGTTCATTTACGTTCAGCAATAAGGGAAGACCTATAAATATATAGACATAATATACAGAACAACCTTTCAATGTAACAACACTTCGCTCTCTGTAGTGCTTTATCAAGTCTACAAATTGTTCTATATAAACGTAAAACGTGAAAACTTGTTGTACCACTGAGTCTTTTTCTATATAATATCTTTTATTATAGCCGACATTCAGAGATAGTAAATTAAACGAGTTGCATGTTCATGGATATGCCCGATACATTTTTATTTTAATTAAGAAAACTAAATTTGAAGGAATCACGTGGCTCCTGGATTAAATAAAGGACATTCAAGATCGATCCAACGAAGGAGAGGATAATTTCAATTATTTGCATCAAGAGCTCCTCTTCCAACATCAAGACACATCTCTCTAAAGGCAGAAATTCCAGACGGATTTGTGTTTATGCGTACCTTAAGTCCGGGTCTACCTACCTGGAAGGTGAAGAATTAGATGTGCAACATCTGGGTATCCTTTTCTGTAGAAGTCTACAAATAAAGATACCCAGATGTTGCACATGTGTCTAATTCTTCATTTTACCGATATTATATACCATTCACATACTTCCTGGAGGGTGTTACGGGGGTCAAAGCCCCCGCAGGTAACCAAGTTTCCTGAATACCTTCAGACCTTGCTCTCACTTCTACAGTATGTCAAGTCCTTTAAACTACTCATTGATTCAATATATTGATTAAGCATTAATATCAATTTAGAGATCAACGCTAAATTACAGCACCGTAAAGTGATCGTTGATCTTCATATAAAAGTTCCAAAAAACTTCATGGACTACCACACACTTAGGAAACTTTGGTCTACGTTTTAGTCAGTCCCAGATAATTATCAGGATAGAAAGAGAAACATCGTCTAAAATGTGATTCAAGGAATTGGAATTACTCTCGCCTTCGTTAGATAAAACATGATTACTTTCCATTCCTCTTTCGAAGTATAGCGATAAAAATATATACAATTAATAGTTATTTATGCTTCTTGAAGCACCTTCGTGGTTCAACGAATATTGCTTGGATTCAAGACTAAGGAGCTTGTAAGGAATGATTAGTGAAAGTTCCTAAGTTTAAATTGGGTATGAAATGTGCTTTTCTTGATTTTTTTTAGTACTAACCTGGGTTGCTAAGGCAGGCTTGGTGTCATCCTGGAGTATGTTTAGACGGGAGTGTCCTTCAGGCTTGGTGTCATCCTGGAATATGTTAAGACGGGAGTGTCCCTCAGGTGAGTGTTGTGGGATGTCCACACACTCAGCCTCAACTTCTCCTTTTTTTCCAGTCTTCTTTGTTTCATCTGAGGAGTAATTGTTACTTTCCTTTTCACTCGCTGATGTATTTTTCCTTGCAGATTGTGGTGATTTTCGCGCAGCTTCATTTATCCCAATCATATTGTTAAAGTTATGTGCTTCTACTTTCTTAACACTATTTTGAGTAATGGAAGAAAAAACGTCCAAACGTCCAAACCTTGTCTATTCAAAGCGGAGTCCCAAATCTTTAATTTATACCCAGGAATTTATGAAAATAAAAAATCTCTGAGAAGCGCTATTATTAATGTGATGCTAAAAATTCCTTGAGCTATGGGAATTCTTGTAGAATTTCTTGAGTATTGTGGGATAGGTGTATAACGGAGAATTTGCTTTCAGACTGCTATCTCAGTTTGGGTTCGATTAATTTGAAAATGCTTAACTTACAGTGAAACACAATCCGTAAATAAAACTGTGCTCAACAAACTGTCATTTTCTTACGATCATTCTTAAAACTTGTACACAACTTCACTACCACGTAGCTGTAAGAATGTTACGAGAAAATCCATTGTACTAACACTGATATTTCAGAATGTTTGTACTAGAAGAGACGTCGTTGCATTTCAGCCTACTGAAGCTTCCTCAGAGGAAAAGAAATGTGTTTCCCTGAAGTTGTCGGAGGCAACGTCAAGACTCACTAGAGACCGCTGGTGATGTGTTGCTACGTACAGTGATGACCACCCCAGAAACGCCTATCATTGTGACGAGACACTTAAAACTGATTTTGCTCCCTTTATTATTATTTATTTTTTTCATTATTATTATTACTATTATTAATAGTAGCAGTAGAAGTGTAAGGCTAATTAGTTGTCAGATATTAGTAAACTAGTACATAGTATAAGACTGGAGTGCACACAATTAAGTTAGACTGGGAATATATACGAAAGTAGTATATTTTCAATTATTGGTTCACCTTTTTAAACTCGTATATGGCAGGTGTGCCCGACCTAGAGGCCCAAATCTCGGGCACCCGGGGCAGTCACACCTAACACCTATTCGGGAGCAGCCGCTTATAATCTCATAGGAATAAAGACGTTTAATAATTCCGGCAATAATTACAGGACCCAAAGTGTTTTCCTCTGTACTTTGTTTTATCAACTGAGAATAAATTATTCGATCGAATTCAACCTTTCTCCACGGTTTTACTATAACAATAAATGGTTTACACAACTACTGACCTGTGCAGGTACCCAATGAACAAAATTATATAACACATTCCAAGTTTCTTGGGATGGGTCCAGTAATTTCACAGTCCTCTTCTGCTTGACTTAAAACATTTACTAAAGAAATTTCCTAATCCGAAGGCCAATGTATAACTAATAGATTTATTTGTGTGTCAAATTATGTGAAATTTTTATTCACAGTAAATTACATGAAGCAAATTTGAATGTCGTTTTAAACAGCTTCATCCCTAATGGCCTATGATCTGTATATTTCCCAGTAAGTTTAGTGCATGAAAATCTGAATCATTGAAAGCCATGAGATAACTGAGGAATAGCTTTTCCGATCAGCTTCAAACTTTTAGTACTGGTGTGTTTTCCGAAACGAAAGATTCCCATTCCTATTGATGCTCCTCAATCCAAGTTTATAATTACATTTTATTAATTTCATTGTGATGATCTCCAATAACTAAAGAATGCCTTTTTTAATTGGCTTCAAATCATAATTGCTGATGTATTCGCTAAGATTAGTTTAGACAGTGACGGAACAAATTTGATAATTTGCTAACATTGTCAAAAGAATCTTGGAATCGTTGATTTCTGAGAAAAAACTGAAGATTACCTCTCATTACGGACTTGAAGCGTTCAACACAGGTAACCTTTGTTAAAGCAAAGTCTGCCGTTATTTGAGCTGAGTAAATTTTTATTTGCCAGTCTTATTTTGCTCGAAAAATACGTTCCCCTCAACGAATTTGCTTGGACTTCCTTCTCCTGATGTGTTGATTGCAACATGAAAGAACTAGAGCTATCATTCAACTTCCCACCTCTTGTGCAAATTGCGGGACCCACAGCCTCGGAGAAGTGGACAAAAAAGCTTTAAGGAAGAATATTTGGATTTCTTCCTGAAGCCACTTGAATACTCCACACACACACACACACACACATTTATATATATATATATATATATATATATATATATATATATATATATATTTTATATATATATATATATATATATATATAAAATGGGGTTGTAGTATACTCACTAGTTAGTGGTTGCGAGTGGTTCGAGTCACACTCCTGGCTCCGCTTCTTCAATGGCCTTACTCAGTCACTCTTCCCGCTCCGAGAGCCTTATCATACTTTTCTTAAAGCTATGTATGGTTCTGCCTCCCACTAACATCACTACCAGGTATTCACTTCCTGACAACTCTGTGACCGAAGAAATACTTCCTAATATCCCTGTGGCTCATCTGAGTCTTCAGCTTCCAACTGTGACCCCTTGTTGCTGTCCCATCTCTGGAACATCCCGTCTCTGTCCACCTTGTCTATACCTCTCAGTAATTTATATGTCGTTATCATATCCCCTCTATCTCGCCTGTCTTCCAGTGTCGTCAGGTCGATTTCCCTTAACCTCTCCTCGTAGGACATACCCCTTAGCTCCAGGACTAGTCTTGTTGCAAACCTTTGCACTTTCTCTAGTTTCCCTACAAGCTTGGCTAGGTGAGGGTTCCATGCTGGCTCTGCATATTCCAATATGGGCCTAACGTACACAGTGTACAGTGTCCTGAATGAGTCCTTATTTAGATGTCGGAATGCTGTTCTTAGGTTTGCTAGGCGCCCATATGCTGCAGCAGTTATTTGGCTGATGTGCGCCTCAGATGTGCCCGGTGTTATACATACACACCAAGATTCTTTTCCTTGAGTGAGGTTTGTTGGCTCTGGCCCCCTAGACTGTACTCCGTCTGTAGTCTTCTTTGCCCTTCCCCACTCTTCATGACTTTGCACTTAGTGGGGTTGAACTCCAAAAGCCAGTTGCTAGACAAGGCCTGCAGTCTGTCCAGATCCCTCTGTAGTTTTGCCTGGTGTGTGTGTGTGTGTGTGTGTACTCACCTAGTTGTACTCACCTACTTGAGGTTGCAGGGGTTGAGTCCAAGCTCCTGGCCCCGCCTCTTCACTGGTCGCTACTAGGTCACTCTCCCTGAACCGTGAGCTTTTTCATACCTCTGTTTAAAGCTATGTATGGATCCTGCCTCCACTACATCGCTACCCAAACTATTCCACTTCCTGACTACTATGTGGCTGAAGAAATACTTCCTAACATCCCTGTGATTCATCTGTATCTTCAACTTCCAACTGTGTCCCCTTGTTACTGTGTCCAATCTCTGGAACATCCTGTCTTTGTCCACCTTGTCAATTCCTCTCAGTATTTTGTATGTCGTTATCATGTGTGTGTGTGTGTGTGTGTGTGTGTGTGTGTGTGTGTGTGTGTGTGTGTGTGAATAAACAGAAGGGTGGACGAAGGGCTTGAATCGCGGTCCATAAATTGGCAGTCTGATGCTCTATCGTTCAGAATATCCTAGGCCTCTAATAGGAAGGAATCGGAAGTAATATTTTATTATATTCCGTCAGAGGCACCAACTATAACTAAACTGAACTTCCTCCCTGGTAAACCTCCTGGGCCGAGGGAAGGAATTCTGTTGGATTACAGTTGATGCTGGTAATATTTATGTTTCCACTGAGAATACCTCCTTAAAATGTATTATTATTATTATTATTATTATTATTATTATTATTATTATTATTATCATAATCATTATTATTATCACCATTATTATTATCGTCTTTTTTATTGGGTAGACTCCAGGATGTACATCTTTATAGAGGGACCACACATATATCGGATCACTTTTTAATTGTAGCTACAGTGAGAGTAAAAGGTAGATGGGATACAAGGAAAACAGAAGCAGCAAGTAAGAGAGAGGTGAAGGTTTATAAACTAAAAAATGAGGCAGTTAGGGCAAGATAACAACTATTTTAGGATAGATGGGCTAGTGAGAGTGTAGGCAATGGGGTCGAAGATGTATGGGGTAGGTTTAAGAATGAGTATTAGAGTGTTCAGCAGAACTTTGTGGGTACAGGAAAGTGGGTGCGGGAGGGAAGAAGAGCGATTGGTGGATTGATGTAAAGAGAGTATTAAGGGAGAAAAAGTTAACATACAAGAAGCTTTTACAAAGTAGATGCGATTCAAGGAGGGAGGAGTATATGAAGAGAAAATGAGAGGTTAAGAGAGTGGTGAAGCAATGTAAAAAGAGAGCAAAGGAGGGAGGGTGAGATGTCATCAACAAATTTTGTTGAAAATAAGAAAAAGTTTTGGAGTGAGATTAATAATTTGAGGAAGCTTAGGGAACGAATGGATTTGATAATTAAAAATAGGAGAAGAGAATTATTAAATGGAGAGTTAGAGGTATCAGGAAGATGGAGGGTATATTTTGGGGAATTGTTAAATGTTGATGAAGATAGTGAAGCTGTGATTTCGTGTATAGGGCAAGGAGGGAATAACATCTTACATGAGAGTATGCTAAGTTCGTGAGGCTGTGGATAGAATGAAAGATGGTAAGGCAGCTGGGATTGATGGGATAAAGATAGAAATGTTAAAAGGTGAGGATATAGTTTTGGGACGGTTGGTGCTTTTATTTAATAAATGTATGGAAGAAGGTAAGGTACCTAGGGATTGGCAGAGAGTATGCATAGTTACTTTGTATAAAGGCAAAGGGGACAAAAGAGAGTACAAAAATCATAGGGGAATAAGTCTGTTGAGTATAGCTGGTTAAGTGTATGGTAAGTGTAAGACGGAAATTAGTGGATGAACAAGAAGGCTTTAGGAAAGGTAGGGGGTGTGTAGACCAAGTGTTTACAGTGAAACATATAAGTGAACAGTATTTAGATAAGAGTAAAAAGAGGTTTTTGTGGCATTTATGAATTTAGAAAAGGCATATGACAGGGTGAATAGGGATGCAATGCGGCAGATGCTGCAGGTGAAGAGTTTTTAAGAGGATAGTGAGGCTCAGGTTTGAGAATTTAGGAGAGAGGGAGATTATTTCCCAGTAAAAGTAGGCCTTAGACAAGGATGTGTGATGTCGC